ACGTGACTCGTTCCAACAGGGGCGCCTGTGCGTCAAATCGCTGTCATTTTGTATTTTGGTTTGAAAAGTAACATCTGAATACACTGCAGAGTTCATGTTCTGACTTGAATGTCAGAGTCAGAGTTTCTTTATTGTCATTTGCACCTCATGGGGTACATGTGGTGGAGCGAAATTATGTACACGGGGTTCCAGTTACATCCAACAATAAAATGTATAAGAAAAACAGTAATAACATCTAAGATATGAACTAAGAAAAACATCAACTAAATATACACTAAGCACTCATAACATCAAAACATTGAACATCAGCACAAACATGAACATGAGTCTGTGAGCAGATGTGCATGCATGAACACATCAACATGTATGTACGCACATGTATGCACATCAACATGAATGTACGATTTACTGTAAAAGTAAATAAATAAATAAAATGTATCCCCAGATCTGCATCCCAAAAAGATGAAAGTTTTAGGTCCTGCCTCCTTCACATAAATTGTTTTTACGTGCCCTTTTTTTATATAAAACTTACAAAAATGGATCTCAGAGATATATATATATATATGTTGATAACAACGAGGCAGTATGGTGGCTCAGTTTGTGCTGTGAGAAGGTTGCAGGATCGAATCCCTGCCTACCAAACCGGACTGTCCCCCGTCGGCAACTGCCGGCACTGACGTAGCTCTAAGCTAGTGGTGGTGCACAGTACAGAAGAGCTAGCTAAAAAGCTACAGAGGTAGCACTCCGCTTCCCCTGACCCCCCCCAGTCAACTCAAACAGTGCTCTACACAGACATGTCTTCGTCTTCATCTCATCCCCCCCCCCCCATCCCATCAACAAATAAACTAGGGGAAACACTGGGATGGATGAATGGACTCGGTGATTTGCATCGTTCTGCTGCTGTGTCCCTGTTTGTAGTATTTTACATCACTTTAAAATGTAGCTGTTTGTTTCATTTATTATTATAATTTCTTCCATGTACTTTTCATTTTATGTGCTTTTTATGATGAAGATGAATGATAACTGTACTGTTGTCATAATTCTTTGTTAGAACATTTTTCTCTTGTAAATGAGTCCTCGAGGCTCAGTGAGACTAACCTGTATAAATAAATGTTGAATTGCTGTACGTTACAGCTGTATTTTGCTATTTCATTGTGCCTAAAAGAAAGGTCATGTGACATTATGATGATGTGCAGGGGGAGTAGGCGGGACTTAAAGCCTCACATCCCTAAGAAGCAGACTCCGGTTTCAAAAATACGACATGACGGCACCACCAGTTATCAGGATCTCAAGCCTTCAAGGAAGCAAAGACGTCAGGCCAAGTGTCTTTTATTAACATTTGATGACTGATGCCTGCGCAAAGAGCATATTCAGTCAGTGATGGTATATTCAATTAGAGAAACGGGTTCACAGCATTAGGTCATTCTTTTCAGAACTGTCTCACACCGAACTGTCTTCTCCTGAATTGTGGTGTTTTGTTTTAAGAAGATCAAGATAAATGAGCTAAAATGGCTTATGTTGTGTTGAGTTACCATTTGCTTTCTGGCGTCGACAACATTCCCAGGCCAGAAAGGATATATACTGGTAATCCCTCCAGCGAGTTCTGGGTCTATCCCAGGGTCTCTTCCCAGTGGGATGTGGCCAGAAAACCTCCAAAGGGAGGTGTCCAGGAGGCATCCTAATCAGATGAACCACGACTGTTTGTTTTGATGCGAAGGAGCATCAGCTCTACTTCGTGCTGCTCATTTCAGCCCCTTGTATCCAGGATCTCCCTCTTTTGGTCGCACCTCATGACCATAGGTGCAGGTGGAGCGTAGACGAACCAGTAAATCAAGACCTTTGCTTTTAGACTCAGCTAGGGATGCACGATATTGGATGTTTGGCCGATATGCTGATATGTTAAAACTTATTTGGCCGATACAGATATTTTATATACGTTCCTTTGTCAGAACATAGCCCTCTCTCTTATTTAGGCTTATTTGCTACAATAATTGTGCAACAGCCGTAAGAGCTGGTGACATATATATATTCCGTAACAGCCATATCCAAAGCACTTTAACTTATATTAAATGAAAAGTGTTAAATGTTATTTATTAGCATTAGTCACCTGCGATGCTGTCTCACTTGTGGAGGTTTGTTCCAGGTTCCTATAGCTGCAGTGTGGGATCCTGTGCACTCCTGTGCATGAAGGACACACTTTTTAAATTCAAAGTTTTTGTCTATCCATTGTTCTGTAAGACTAATCATGCTAACAGGGCTAACACTCGATGTCCAAATGTCTGAGGTAAAACTCACCCAACAAGTCGTGCTATCGGCTGTTAGCTTCTCAATGACGTCGGAAATGACGGATTGTAACTCTGGTAACGTTACGTCGGAAAAATATCTCCGACTGCGGACGATGTAGCGAGGCTCAACGTAGTTCATGAATCTTTGGAATCCAACATCCTCACCAACGAAAAATAAAACTTCCACACCGCCGACATTTTGAATTTTCCTCTTCGCCGTGAGATCAGGGAGGCGCACGTGACGTCGTCGCGTTGTGCTGCCGCTGCAGAAAACAGTGCCTTTTATATCAGCGACTTATTTTAATGGAATGACCGATGTCCGATATTGAAATTTAACGCTAATATCGTCCGATACCATGCCAATAATATCGTGCATCTCTAGACTCGGCTTTTCCTTCACCGACCGAAGCAACGTCTCATTACCGATGATGATGCCCAAGTCTGTTGATCCAACTCCCGCCTCATTCTACCATTACTCTGGAACGAGATGCTCAGATACTTGGACTTAGAATCGTTCTGACAGAAATACCTTTTTAAGAATTTGTTGGCACAACCCAAAAGTCTATGACGTAACCGTGGCCAGTAGGCAAACTGGAGAACTGTTCCTGGTTTAGCTGTGATTTAATACCATCTGTATGGTTGGCTCAGCGACCACACAGGATGTGCACGCCTCTGTGGTTGATGATGGGAGACTGATCATAACGAACAACTGTGATGTAACATTTTGGGAAACTATTTGACGTTAAGGTTAAGCAATATGAAAAGTAAAATTTGGCTGGGGAACGAATGAGACAACTGCCTTCGGGTGTTTTTATTTATTTGATTTTATTTTTTTTTTTGGACCTTGACGAACATAATCAAGCCAGCCAAGACTCTAAATGTCTTCCCGTTTCGTCACTCCCTCCCCAGTGAGCTTAAAGATCAGGTTAATGTTTGCTTTTCTTCTCAGAAGAACATCATTACGGGTTTGTTAGGTGTAGAATCGTCCTCCGACAGTGCTATTCGTCTGTTTTTATGCACTCCCTTTAGACTTGATGCTTAACCCAGAATTACTAGCATTTTTCCTGGTTGCTAAGCAACAGGTCACGTCTCGGAGGGTATCTGAAAGCAATAAAAGTGGCTCTCTGAATGTGGGATGGACCCAGTTTGGAGTAAATTTGATTTTCACGGGGGTTGCTTCCTCTGAGTCATACTGTTGTTCTGTTGGGAGCTTTGTAAACGCGTCTTCTTATTTTATTTATATGTTTGCCTCAAAATAAATTTGTGTAAAATCATTAGAAGAAAAACGGATGAAAGTCCACCATTACAATTTATTTGACATTTTGTTTCTGAACAGCTTTTAATTGAATCTTGATAATAAGCTGTTCTTTCAGTTTTGTAATTATCGTTATCTTCTTGGCTTTTAACTCCAATCGAGTGAGAATTTTTTTTATTTTTTTTTATTTCACTCGCTACTAAAGTTGTGTATTTACTTTTTTTATCTGTTCATCACTTTAGTTTTGTTTTAAATAAGCTCCATAGATTAAGTTTTGAGTGAACACTGTAGTTGTTTTCTTTATTAATCAATATTTTAACTTGAATAAATTGTCAATTAAAGGGACAAACGGCTATTTTTAGGTCCTAAATATAGTTTTCTTGATTCTCGTGATTATTTTGATTTTTTTTGTGTTTTCTTTGGGATTTTGTGGAGACATTTGTATCTTTTTTTTTTTTAAATTACAATAAACGAAACCACATAGCTCCTTTCCTTACGACAGAACCTTATTGACTTTTAACTTTCTGTAAAGTCACTTTAAATAACTTATTTTTCCGTCTTTTTTTAACCCTGTTTGCTCTTTTTTTGTCTCTTCTGTTTGGCTTTCAGAGCAAAGTACCACAAGTTAAAATACGGGACCGAGTTGAATCAGGGTGACATGAAACCTCCGAGCTACGACTCTGGTAAGTCTGCAAATCTTCAAGCAGCTAACTTTACCTCCTCGCACTAATTCATTCAAAATTTTTCACTCGCATTCTTCAGATGACAAGAGCGTGGCCCACGTAACGGCAGCGTTCGTGTCGAAGCTTGTTTGTTTCTGACATTGCTTCACGTTTTCCTTAACTTGTCTTGTGGAAAAATAAGTGAAGATCTAGAGACAAAAATCCTCAAAAGAGCAATTAGCAATTGTAATTTACTAACTTCAAGGGAAATGTCCTAAAGCTTACGTGTCTGATTGTGCTGACTTCCAGACATTTTTTGTTTTGTCACAGTTTAGTCATTTATTTCTCCAAGCAAAACCATAAGAATGAAGGTAGGTTTTTGTTATTTTATTCTTTTACATGATCTAAAACCAGCACGATATAACGATTCACTTCAACCGGTTGTAGTTCCTTTCTGGATGCATTGTGAACACAGACTATTCTGAATCCATCTTCAAATGTCAAAAATAGATTTTGCTAACGTTAATCTGCGCAGCCACTTTAAACACTCAGCAGAGTAGATGCTGTGTGGTACAGTTTGTCCTAGAACAGTTGCCGTAGCTGCTGAGGTTGTGTTTGAACCTTGAAGAAAATACATTACGTCTGTAAAAAAAAAAAAGAGTTGAATTTATCGTAACGTGACTGTCGAGAAAGAAGGT